AACAACCAGCTTCCTGTATTTTTTAAACTTCAAAAACGATTGAATGAGTGAGACGTTTGTTGGATTGGAGGCACTGAATTGTTAAAATATGTTCAAGTCTTTCTTCGCCATAAAACACCTAGCTATGTTATTAAAGCCGTCCTATTTGTTTAATCTTAATGTTTATTAAAAAATGTATGCATAAAGCTACTAATATGGTGAGGACTACAAGTGCACTTCACGAAAGTGACGTCATCGACCCAGACACAGAGAAAACGGAAGGAAAATGACCAAGTTCAGCAAACGTCAAATCCTTCCCACAGGAGAAAATCTGGTCATGTGGTAAGTAGCAGCTACGCTACGGGAGAGGAGATTCTGTGGTGACGTCATACGAGCGACGTGCCGATGTAGTCATGCTAATTAACTACTTTTACAAGCTGAAAAACCTCAAAGTACATGACTGGCGTGATCGAAACACACATCATTGCTTTTCATTTAAATTGCAGTACAACATATGTGCGATCCAGGGCGTAAGGCAAAGCGGATTAGAAAATAGCTCTTTTAGCCCCGTTGACTCGCATTCTTTTTTCATTCTTCTGGTGATCCATGAGCCGACCGGAAAGGGAGGAGAGTTAGGCTCTCTACTTCCTACTATTTGGACATCTCACCTCTGATTGGATAACAGCAACATGACCCTACCACTGACTCTGTTGTGGAGGTTTTATCTCCACAAACGACACAGGCCTGAAGGAGTTCTGCTGTGTGGTGGAGTTGCTAATGCTAACAGTTTGTTTCTGCTAGTCTAGACATTCTCTGCTGTTTCCTGGACACTAAACCAACAACATCCTTCTCTGTTGCGAGTCAAGGGGGTGAGTCCATGAAAGTTAAACAACAGTGTTTCACCGTCTATCTTCTATCAGAAGCTAAAGCAGGAGATAGGTGTAAGGACTGTTGTCGTGTTCAGCCTGCATGAAAAACTCAGTTATCATAATCAGAAATAAACATTAAACGTGGTTTTTGGTGTTCCATGCCTTTAATGTTGACACAGTGCATTACTCAGAAAATGACAAATTCACTTAAGTCATGACAAAATTCTCCTGTGACTCCAATCATCACGGCAGGTTATACATTTAACACAGCAGGGTCAGAGGAAAATACTGCATTTCCAATCGGCTGAGAACAAAATCAGCCTGCAGTGTTCAGTATTACATTTGTTTGGTTCCCTGTACAATTACCAGTGACTCTGCACTATGCTGAATTGTCATGATGGAGCTTCCTGTTGTAAAGGAGTGACATAAGTAAAAAAAAAAAAAAAACCTGGTCTGAATGTGTACCAATACCTTTGTGAACTTGCAGCCAATGGAATTAGCCCTCACAAGAGTGCAAACCCAGATTAGGCCGTACATCAGAGAAAGTTAGAGAGCGGATCTCTTTCAGTCTCCCACTAATCGCATTGAGCAACTCTAGCTTTGTCGCGCCTACTGCCCCTCTCTTTTTTCCACCGTTCTGTATCGGCTGATCCCTCTGCACGGTCCAGAAGAGAGCTCTTTTGTGCTGCTGCTGGCAGGCAGACACAGGCAGAGAGATGGATACAGCCGAGAGTGACCTGATTCTGCCTTGGCATCTGGCCGCCACCCAAACACAGGCTCTGCCTTCTTGTCTGTCTCATTTTAGGGTGGATCCCTTTTGCCTTCCTCTTTGGTGTGGGACCCTTACCTGTGAGACGCTAACAAAAACAATCATTTGATAATAAAAAAGAGCACACATTTTCTTTCACCTCAAAACTATTGAGAGAGTTGAGATAGAAGCTTCTAAAAGATACAAGTAGAGAATATGCTCACCTCTGAGTTATAAAATGCATTAATCAGTTGCACTGAGGGAGAGAAAATGCCGTGACTACAGAGCCTTCCTGACAGACGTGTCGAGGGCTACACTGATATCATTTGGTATTCTGAGTAGAGCTGTATTTGGCATCTTGACTACAAATGTCATGTTTCAGTGGTGGCATAATGACAACAGGTCTGCTTCCTGAATTACCTGACAGGCAAAACATCTTTCATTAGATTTCAGAGTCGAGGACAGAGATGGAGGTGATTGGCAACCCAGTGATGATTAAACTGCATCTGTTTGTCAGAATAATGACAAAAAATATGTTTTCTCAATTAAAAGAGAAAGGTTTTTCTGTGCAAAGACAAACTCAGTGCTGTTAATTAATTTCTTAATGACTTTTAAACACTTGTTTTATTAACAGTATAATTAATCTTGGGATAAACGGTGATAATATTATCTTTAAAAAAGCCATTCACTCATCAACATCCCAAGTACTGGGAAGCACTCCGTTTTGCTTCCGATAGACCACGTTAACCTTTGAACCCGGCAGGATGAGTGTTCTCTGTAACTGATGGGGACATGAAGAGGGTGTTTTTGTTCTGTCACATAAACAAGGCGTAAGATGGAATAGATGGGAACAGCAGCGCCGGTTGCTGTAGAAACATTGAGAGGAGGGAGAGACCTCGGCTCTCATCTGTGAGCCATCAGCCTAGAAATGCACCATCAGAAGACTTGGAAGACAGAGAGCTCATTCTTGACAGACGCTTGTTCTGAAAAGGTCCTTGAGAAAAGACAAAGTGAAGAATTTGAGAAAAAGTTGCACATTTTTGTGCTCTTTTCACCCTCTTTGAGATCTCAGTCAACACACATCTCTATTATTTTCCATTCTCATGTGAGACCTTCAACCATGTGACATGATCCTGACCCACATTTAGGTTCTCTATCAATCATTTATTTCACTCCATCTGACCTCGTTGTAGCCTCAGGCTGTAGTGTCCTAAACCAGCCATGTTCCATTTGTCTAATGAAAGCAAACCTCATATTTCCTCTGAGTCTTGGTCTAAGGGCTTTGATGATGATGGCTATGGTTAATAGGTTGTGTAGATACTCTGCCCTTGCAGTTTATTGCGTGTCCTAAGAGTGCACTTCCAGGAAGAAAAATGAAAACTAAAACAAAAAGCATTGCTGAAAGCGTCCTCTGACTTTTCAAACCAGAAGCTAATTTTAGATTCAATTAGCTTTGATTATATATATTCCTTATCTTTCTTTCCCCCGTGCTCATTTCTTTTGTTTTGTGCATTATTCATTTATTTTCTGCATTATTTTTGTTTCAGCTGACTCCGTGAAGTTCAACATTTATCCATATAAATTCACAACTTTCGTTTAGATTACACTGAGTGGATTTCTTGGCCCTCTATTGGATGTCTTGAATACCAAGCTTATACTATTCACCAGGGCCATTTCACATCACAGGCACCCATTCTGAGAAAATTAATCATTACCATACTTCCTCCTTACCTAAACACGTTGAAATCTATTCACATCTCCAGATGAAAGTGAAATGAGGGAATGAATCTTACCAAAAAGTAACAAACATCATAGAACCTGAATATCTGGTCATTCAGAATATTTGATTCGTAACTTGGCTTCACTGTTTAGTCAGATATGTGGATTTTGCTCCAGGCCCAGTTGAAGCAAATCCAGATAATTTTACTGCTCCCTCAAATGTGTAACTTGGTCATTAACACCCTTCTTTATATTGGTTTCAAATATTCAGTTTTTCCTCCAGGTGTAAAAGTATCTTCATCCACATTATTCAGAGGAAAGCACTGCACTTCCCCCACCAAACCAGCAGGTGGTTTATGAGGAGATCCCACATCCACACAGAAATGCCCCAAACTATCCCAACGTTAGACAGTTTTCATTTAAATCTCAGGTTTTCTGACTAAGAACGGAAAGTTCCGCTTGAATGTGATGGGCACATGAAGACAGTATTTGAAAATGTTTAGAGTAGCGTTGACACTGCCTCCGTTTGATCACCTGAAATTCTTTTTTTTTTTTCAGCCAACACTGTTGGCGTTACCTGGTGGTAACACCGTGCACATGAGAATGTTATGATGTAACAGTTTTTTGTTTTAACCCAGTTCTGGTTAGCTCAGACAACTTTTCTAAACGGTACTATTACAGCAGACTTCTGACATGGTTCAGGAATGAGATGGTTCTGTGTCAAAATTAAAGAAGATACTGCCAGCTGAAACATAACTAACTCTTTGTTGTGCTTTTCCAATTGAAAGTTGGTACTTTTCCCGCTTATTACATTCGGACCCTTTTAAAGCCAGAAAATGCTTTCCTCTCTACTTAAATTTAGATTTTCTTAAGCATTTTTGGTGATTTGTCTTACAGCCCTGCGTTAGTCCTTTGATGACATGTTTAATGCTTGGTTTATGCTTGACGCATTTACTTTCCGCTTGGTGATGCGGCTCGCGGATGGAACGCGCTTCACAACTTGCAGCGTTTATGGTTCATGCGGCTCGTCTCTGCGGTGAGCCAATATTCTCCCAAACTGTAGGGGGCAGCATGGAGCTCTACGGCATGCATCCAACACTACACCATAGTAGAAGTAAAAATTACTGTTGTTTACAACATGGCATTCCAGCATAACAGCGTCCTCGTCTTTTCCGACAGTGCGAGCTATTTCTCTCCAAGATTTATTAACAACATGTTGATCACGGTGATCTTTGAGAGCTGAATCATACACATGTCTGTATTTACGAACCTCTGCCATACTAGTTCTTGCCAATCCGCCATGTTTTTCTGTGTCCGACCATCCGTGTGGTTAGAAAATGTCCTAGGTGCGCGGTGCGGAAAGTTTGGGCCGTGCGGAGAGCGGTGGATGGGCGTGGTTGTTAAAATGATGCAAATTTGCCACGCGGAGCGTGCGAACCTCGCGGACGCGTCAAGCATAAACCAAGCTTAATTCACCTTGAACATAATAACTAGGTGCAGTAGCATTTCTGTAGCTGCGGTTGCATTTGTTCGACAGAACAACCTCTAGCACCATCAGAGTGCTGTAGTCTATTGATCTATTGATCGATCCACATGAATGAAAATTTATAAGGTTTTGTGAAACACTTTGACACCTATATTGTTGAAGCAAACTAAATCCCATCTTCTTTCCTTCCCCATTACAGCTGTTGACCATTGATGATGACTTTTGTGGCCTGGACATGAATGCACCACTGGGTGTGTCTGAGATGGTGCGCGGAAAGCCCCTTTTCACTGACGCCGTCGACAAAATGAGCTCTGTTATTGCTTACGTCTACAAGAACCACTCACTGGTCTTTGTGGGCACAAAGAGTGGACGAATCAAAAAGGTAAGGATGAGAAATTGAGCTGGGTGAAATAAATCACAAGTGGCTGAACTGATGGAAGCAGAGATTTGTTTTCGCTTCGTTGGAATTTGGTGTACGAGTTTGGGAATTGGGACGGCTGGATTGGTGGATGGATGCTAGTAGAAAGGCAGATTGACTTTCAGGCAAATCAGCTGAGTCTGCTGTATTTATGGCACAAAGGTGCGTGTGCATGCCTGAAAGAGAAGGAGATTGAATGGTGGAAGTGTGTGTCCTGTACTGTTGAGGAAAACTGTGTGTGTGTGTGTGTTTTGAGGAAAGAGGATCAGGAAAGCCCCTAAGGGGGTTTTATTTCTACACCCAATCCTATCTGATATCTTTCAACATCCTCCTCATCCACTGCACCATATATCACGTGCTCTCTTGAATACCTCCAGTACCAGGAGTATCCACTACTCTTTTCTTTCACTTTGGACTTGTATAAAAACCAGAGCCCAGGGGGCAGATTGTAGCACACGTCAGCATGTTGCAGAACTGATTAGGCAAAGTTCCCCATCTCTTCCTTGAGGCAAATTAGGAGGTCAGAATAAGATGAGATGCATAATTCATTGAGTACTTTCTTTTACAGCTTAATGGTTTACTAAACTACTAGAAGTATCAAGAGTCACATTCATCCTTAATGACTTAATCTTACATTTAAACAGCGACTTGGAAATTTATCAGGAACAAAGAACAATGATTTAACACCTTGTGTTAATAATCATATTATAAAACATTTTTAAATGTAACACACACTCCCTTGAAACCTGTCTCACTCTGTGTGAAAGCAAAGCCCTTGACTAAACAAGATTTGTTCCCTCAGAGTTAAGCAGTAGTGGATAAGCCCGGTTTTGGAGTGTTGGAGCTTCCACCTTCGACTCCCTTCATGCCCCTGTGCCCTCTGTGTGTGGCAGTCCTTTCCACTGCTAATGGGATGATGCACTGCTGCTAGGTGTGAAAGAGTTGGTTATCCCATCCACTTTTACCTTGCTTTCTCACATAGCCAGGTATGTGTATCATAGCGCCACGAGTGCAAATAATTAATGGAGTGGAATTGAACAAAATGGACAATCTAGGAAGAATGTCATGCTAGAATGAAGACCGATGTGGCCAGAATATACCTGCAAACTCAGAGGGTGTGAAAAAGGTGACAACTACAATGCCATGTATGTAGTTGCAATGTTTAGAAAGAGCTGCAGCTGCAGGTAAATGTAACTTTATCTCAGCTATTTGCTTGAATACTTTAATAAACCACTGCTAAGGGCAAATCACTGACCTGACTCTTGAATGCAGAATAAATGTTACAATATTATGCAAGTATCTCATGGGTTTCTCCTCCAGCGTCCTTAAGTCTGCTGTTGCCCAGACCCATTTACTGGGTTTGTTTTAAACGAGTAAGGCTGTAGCATACTGGTGGCCATCTCTTACCAGAAATAGTATTTGTTGCTAATATTACTGGTGGCGTTTAATCCAAACTCAACTCCAAAACAAAATATTAGATAAAACACAACCAGCCTCGGGAAAAATGTATAAAGGTAAATTTGCTAAATGACAAACTTTGGGATCAAAAATGCTACGAGAAGTGATAGCGACAGCACTCACACAGGTGTTGGCATTAGGACCTAAATTGTTCAGTTTGTACATAAATGACATCTGTAAATCCTCACAGATAATGAGATTCATTTTATTTGCTGACGACTCTAGTATGTTGTGTGAGGGAGATGATCTGCAGCAGCTCTTGGAACTGATTACGGAAGAAATTAAGAATATTAAAACTTGGTTTGATATGAATAAGATATCATTAAATTTAGGGAAAACTAAATACATGATATTTAATAATAGATTGGAAAACTTATTCAAGGTAAAAATTAATAACATTGGAATAAAAAGGGTGCAACTTGAGTTCAGTTGATAATTTATGTGAATTTATTGTTGATGCTGACTTTTGCAATACTTCAGGTTTTGGGTTAGTATCCAACAGGTTTTAGAGGTTTCTCTGCTTTAACACACCTGATTTTAATCAGTGGCTCATTATCTGTGTGATGCCATGAACAGGTAATTAAATCAGGTGTGTTGCAGCAGGGAAACAACCAAAACATGCTGGAAAGGAGGCCTGCAGGACCAGGATTGGACACCACTGGCTTAAGGCGACCAACTCTTTATCTGTTTGCTCGTTTCTGCTTATTGCATCATATTATTTACTGTAGTTATGAAAAACTCAGCTTTATTTACATGTTGTTTCTTTACTTGCAATTGTTTTCTCCATAAACACAATTCCTTTGGTTAGTTTATTTTTTGAAAAACAAATACGAATAATTTAGAAAATAGTTTTTTTGTTGAGAACACATTGAATTTATCTATGTGAATTATGTCACCTTCGTTATATTTCTAATAACCAAAATGGGAACCAGATTGAGCACATATGTGACATACTGGCCAAGCGCTCTCAGACACTTACACAAAGGCGATCAATAATGTGTGTCAACACAAGCGTGCACACACAGCACCATTACAATTCCATCCCTCCCTCCCATGTACACATTTCCCCTCCCCATCATTAACTGTATACCATTAGATGACATCACTGGCAATAAAAGACAACAGCAAGACAATAAAAAGTGTGAGCTGAAGTCCACCTCCTTCATCAGTGACTTTATAACCCCTCGGCTAATGGATGTTGATTTATGCACACTCCTCTCTCTTTACTTTATTTGGTCTTCCTCCTATTTCACTCTTTCAGATCATCTTTTGTAATTTGTCTTTCACTCTCTTTTTTCCCTGTGTTATTTATGGTTTCATGTCTAACCCTGAGTAAATATAAGCATTACGGTAAAAGAGAGTGGATGGACTTTAATGGAGTCCTGTTTGGGTGAGCTAAGTGTTCGTGTTTACAGGCTCACGTTTATGACATCATGAAGTTGAGCTGAGCAGGAAGCAGAGTGAATAAATCCAATTTAACTGTAAAGCCGTGTAATGCAGTTGGGATTGGAGTAAAATCTCTGAAATGCACTTTGAAGCAGACGCGATTGTACCATGACCACACTAATTATGGATTTTTCTAAAACCATTTTAAACGTTCCTAACTAGCACAAATCACCATTTCACCATTTTTTTTACCATGATGGTTTGCTTGATTTCAAGTTCCTCATGAATATGATTCATGCAAGATAACAGAGATTAAACCCCTTTGACAGAACACAACCCCTGATCTGAGGCCTAAATCGTGAGCGGCTGCTTTGCACACCTTCTGTTGGCCAGTTTGAGGACCCCCCCCCACCCCCCACCCCCACCACCACCACCACCACCACACACACACACACACACACTTATAATAAAGCAGGCAGCGGTGTTTAGTTTAGTGAAAGCTGACATCGACAGCTCAGCTTGGCCTTTACTGTCTCGTAGGAGACTTAAAACTGTCAAACCATGTAAAGCATGAAGTATGAGATCTCTTCACTTGTGTGCCGTTTCCTCATTTGAACTCAGATATTTTTCTCTTGGCACAAGTAAAAACACTTTTACCTCTTCACTTTATTTATGTTTTATCTGTCATGTTTCACTCTTATTTGTCCTCATAATTTCCCTTTACCTTTTCTGCACATCTTTCTCCTTCCTGTCTTTCTGTCCATGGCTGAGTGGAGTTACTGCGATAGCTCTTTGATGGCTACCTCTTGCCACTGGAAGTGAATAGACCATATGGCTTCTGTCAGCCTGTCTGTCGGTCAGGTGGTGTGTTCGCTGGTCTGTGATAAAGATGTGAGGGGATGAAGTTGTGATGGAGATAAAAGGCTGTGCCTGGGTAAGGTTTAAACCCATTTACTGCAGGTCAATACACAGCAGCAGGCCAAGGGGAAAGACTTAACCCCCTGTAGGCTTTGGTTTAGTTTATGGTCATCTGGACATGAAACACATTGGCCTGAGAAATAAAAGTTGAAGTGAAGACAAATGCATAACACACTGCCACTGATTTTTTTTAGATGAGCATGCATCAGTGAGTTCTTACACCCCCACTGCAGCCAGTGCACACATGCCAGGTCTGCCGGCTATCTGCATGGGGTTGTGCCATGAGAGGTGGATGAAGGGACAAGAGCGAGGTGTGGAGGAAGGAAGTAGAAAAAAGAGAGAAAAGATGAGATTGAGAACTGCCTGCTGAGGTGCTAATGCATCTTCCCTCTGTCAGTCCCAATAGGGAGCATTGGCACTCAATACAATGAGCAGCTAACCTTGAACTTGACATCGACAGTGGCACAAAACTGAGCAAGGCAGGACATCCAAAGATAGAGAGGCTGAAAAAGCTCACTGAACTAGATATCACAAGTCTGTAGAGAGCTCATGCAGTTGGAGACAGACATGGTTCTGGAAATAATAGTATATAGATCTATTTAGCAAAGGACAAAAAGCAGGGAGTTGTGGTCCCCCTCCCAACCAATGTCACTTCTTTGCCTGGTGGTAACGTAACAGACTAGGATTATAAATTATGGGTTATAAGGAGATGGGTTGAGAATAGGCCCATTTATGGTTGACAAATACAAAAAATTAGTCCACTGTACACAGAAATGTCAATGCTTTTTGTTTAGGAGGCAAAGGTCAAAATCTCACTTGACTCTACCTTTCACCATTTTCTGTTTCCTGTTCTTTACAGGCTAGCCTGACCTGACTCATCTATCTGTGTGACGCTCCTCATCTAATAGATAAACATGTTCATTTCTAACTAGCTTTTCAGCCAGCACAACAGATAATGTATGGATAGGTGTGTGTGTGTGTGTGTGTGTGTGGGGGGGGGGGGGGGGGGTGGGGGGGGGGAGGGGGGGTTGAGAGAGCTCTTACTTTGGATGGTAACTGCTCTGGACCAGCCCAATATGTTATGTGGCCTGACTGTGTCCTTGCTTTGGCCGTGTGTGTTTGTGTGTGTGTATGATGGGCTGGCTAGCCCCAGACACAGATTATTGAAATAGGCTGAGCTGAGCCGTGGTCAGTGGAGCAGA